AGGTTCCAAAATTGTATATTATTATGATGGCTATCAAATGGCCGAGTGAAAAATCCATTGAGGTTCCAAAATTGTATATTATTATGATGCCCTTGATTGATAATCATTCGACGGACTACTTTTACGATGTCAGTCACATGAAGAAGCTCAGCAAGCCTTGCAAGAAGTGCATTCTTTACTAATAGCTGCATAGTTTAAGTTGTTTGCTGGTGGATCCATAAATAGCATATGATATGATACAGTGTCCTACCTTTGCAAGTATACTCTTCCTTCTCAACGTGGGAGTTACATTGGGTTCCATGTGAAAGTTCACTTGAACTATTATCGTTTAAAATTTTTGTCTCACAAAATAAATTATGTTGCTTTCAATGGTTTTAATAGAGTTTTTCTTGTGATTTTAAGATTAACCATGTTCATGTCTTATGATTTTTTTTTAAAGGTTTTACTTGTTTATCTTGGTTATGAATATCCTCATTTCCTATTATGTCCCTTTATGATCATGCTTTCATGTTTATGCATATCACTCGTACTAAATACATTCAACGTACTAATGCATATTTGTGTCTATTGTCTAATAATGTAGGGTGTGACACTTCTTCTCCTCCCACTTGTGGATATATTCAGATTTGCGATATTTAAAAATTTGGTGAGTCCTCGTGAGGACCATGTCACCTTTAATTACTTTTCTTATGTTTTTAGTTTCTGACATTGTACATGTTTTATGGGTCACGTCCCAACCACTTCTTTTGATGTATTAGATGGGCTTGTCTAGAGACTATGTTCGACTTTCACTTTTACGTCAAGCTCTTAAAATATGAGACTTTCTACTTTTTTGTATTATATTGTGTTGGATGTATTTCAGATAACTTTTTAGGGTCTATTGGGGTTTTATACGACATGTCAAGTATGGGGTATACTTTTAGTCATGAAATACTCTACTTGGTGCTTGATACTAATCCCAAAATAATCAATATCAATATTCTTAAAGAACTTTCTTTACTCGAATTTCACTTATACTGAAGTGCTATTTAAAAAATCAAGTATACTCTTTCTCTTTCTCAACCGTCAAATATTACATATGAAATGATTTTATTCTTTCTATAAAAGCTCCTTTCAAAACATGAATTTAAAGTCTATACTTCTGAACTCACCTTTCGGTCCAAAATCAATGTATCATAAATTTCATATAAAAATCTCTACGAACATGACCTTTATCAACAATTGGGTTCATGTAAAACAAAATTTCAACATCGAATATCAAAATTAAATATGCATAATAGAATTCAAAATCTCAACGGTTAGGGAATCGATATTTAGAATAAGAACACAATTGAATTTAGATTTCAAGAGACTACGGATAAAACTCTGAACATAACATTCTAGCACTTAAGAACAATTTAAGAATCACATGATATGAACTTAAATGCAAATGAAAAATGATTTGGGCCTTATCTTCAAATATTCAAGGTATTACACTTTTGTAATTATTTATTTTGTTGCGTCATTTATATTTTGACTATTAATATGAATGCACATTATATTCCTATATATACCTTTTTTTTCTATTGCCCTTTCATTATTTCTATTCTCTTATTATTGAATATTAGTATACATACCCAAGCGGTTAATTGATAAACACTTTCGTAAATATTAATGTATTGACAGTTTTAAAATTATATTTATCAAAAATGATATTGTAATATTTATGTGGGAGAATGTTCATGTAACATCTCGCAATTCGAGATAGTCGGGAAGAAACTAAGACGTAGAAATAGATATTTTTGGAGGTAACAAAAAAAATTGGAAATTTGGTTAAGTTAGGAAAAGTTGAGTTTTGATCAACTTCAAACGGCCATAACTTCTAGCTCAGGATGAGTTAGATATACTTCCAGATATGGTTGAAAATCTCTTGGTATAATCTTTCCAACACAACCAACTTTGCGTGATTCTGAGTTCATATGAGTGAGTTATGACATCAGAAGTTGGGTTGTTGAAATAAGAAAAGTCTGAAAACCTGATTTTAGAAGGATAGTTTGGTCTTTTCTTACCCAACATAATTAATTTATTTTTAGGAGTTCAATTGGGGTAAATTAAATTTTAATCAGTTTTGAAAAGTGAATTTCACGCTAGAGCTTGGAGAGAGAAGAAAAGAGGAGAAAAGGAAAGAAAGTTCAAGATTCGTTAAAAACGTTCAAGCATCGCTTGTGGATTTCGTCAAGGGGTGATCCCTATGAGGTATGTGAGCTTCCATAGTGTTGTCTTTGTTCACCCACGCGCCAAACATGTTATTTTCGACGTAATTTTGTTTTGGAAAATTAAGGATTTAAGTTCTTGATGAGTTCTTGATAAGTGTTCTTGAAGTTTACTTATCGATTAAGTTTTGATGTTAAGATTCTACTTGGGTCAACTTTAGATGACCATATCTCTTAGAATATAAGGATTTATGTGAGTCATAACCTATCCAATTAAAGGTAATTGAATTTACTTTCCAACGCCACAAATTTTTTGTCAATTCAATTTTTAGGAAAAAAGTTATGACTATTTTAGTAACCTATACAGTGTTGTTACGAATTAGCCAATGGAAAAACATTAAAAAAGGGTTGCTTTTGTTTTTTTACCTCCAAGAGAAGCCTAAACGAATTTTTGACTAATAAAAGGTTCAAAACGACCAGTTTTTCATCTTTACTAATGAAAATCATAATTCTTGACCATAGAGATTTTAAGAAACTAATTCAAGAATCTCAAGAAAGGTTTTCTTGATCATCTACCTTCAAGCGAGAGTTTCAAGGTTTCTATTCATGTTTTTATCCAAGATTCTTCAAGGACCTTGTTCTTTCTATATAAATTTATTCCTGAATATCCTGATATCTTTCCTATCACAAATCATGATGCTTGAATTCATAATTATATTTAAGTAAAGTCAATAGTCAAGTCAAGAAATTAAAAAGTCAAGTCAAGAAGTTAAAAATCAAGTCAAGATATGTTCTTCAAGTTTTTCAAAAGTCTTTCACATGAAAAGTATTCTAACAGATGAAAATTAAAAGAATTGGCAAATTTAAAACTAATGGTATAAATGCATATAATTATATAGTAAAGGGCTTGACATATTTATGAGCTTCACATTAATGTTTCACAATTAATTTTAGAAAATTGAAACAAAACCAAAATATTGAATAGAGGACAATTTTAAAAAGATGAAAAAGCTAGTGATTCCAAGACATTGAATATAAGCTGTTGTAATTGTGTGATAATTAAAATATTACTCCTATTTAATTAGAGTAGATATTTTATTTTTATTACATAACGATGCAATAATTGTGTGACAATTTAAATATTACTACTAATTAGGTTAGATATATTTATTTGTTAAATATTTTAATTATTTGTATTTTGAACAATTTAAAACATACATACATGTTAAAACTACAACTTTTGATTTCTATGTGTAAAATGAAGATGATATTTTTAATTTTACCATTGTTGACTGTCTTTTTGATTTTTTTAAATTGAAAAATGACATTTTGTGAGTGATCAATTTATTAAGATGACAATTATTTATCCTCAAATAATTCAAGTGAAAAAAATAGCAAGCATGATAACAACAAAATTGTTCTTCTCATAGCTAGTTAGAAGGCCATAAAAAAATAATTTTATCCGGTAATTATCTACTCCGACCTAATTACCTAATAATTCAAGGCTATATTTGGAAAGAGACTTTTTATATAGTTTTAATCCAAATACAAGATGAGGTGTGAAATAATGAACCAAACACTTGATAAAAATAAACTCTGCAGTATGCGCTACTAATCCCTATATTATCAATCCCTCCATAACTAATCCTTGCTTTATTAATTTTTGTACGAGACGGACCATAACACTCTAAATAGAAGTTATATTCAGTTTTAAATTTAAAATCTCAACTGATTAAGATAATGGCACAACTCAAAACCGGTAAGAATTATTTTTAGATTTTAACGTTACTTAAGGTGTAGTTGGTTTATCTTATTTTGAATCTTATTATTTTAAATGCCTTTTTTTCATCTCTCTTCCTTGTTCCTTTATTGAACATGAAAATTTAATTTAATATTTAATTTTCCAATATTCAATATTACACTTTAAAATGTGTGTTAATAATTTGAGTTTATCTAAGTAGAAGTTAATTTTAAATATAAGAAATATACAGGTATAGATATAATTTAGATATAGATTATTTCTATCATTGTTGTTGTTGTTGTTGATTATACCTTATTTATCGACACTAAATCAGGGATCTCCCCCAAATCAGGGATATCCCAGTATGGCTAATGGTCATTAGCTTGAAATCAGTAGATAATTAGGACTCTATTACTTGTATAAATATCTTGTAAATCCTACACTTTTATAATCGAATAAGCAAATTACAATTCTTTTATGTCTAATTGTTTTGGATCTCTATCGTTATTCAACTTGGTATCAAGAGCCTTTCTTTTCTTCAGATCCTCACGACACAGTTTTTTTTTCTTTTCTCTAGATGGATTCACGAGATACCTTGTCAACATAATTTGATGGGCATAACTATTCGATTTGGAAGTTCCATTTCAAAGCCTTCATTAGAGGCAAAGATCTCCTTGGTATTCTGGATGGCTTCAAAGGTTGTCCCTACTGAAGACAAAGAAAAAGAGGTTTGGGAGGCTGACAATGGAAAAATTATCACCTGGCTTGTCAATTCTGTCTCCGTCAATATAGCCATGAAACTGACATTTTTTTAGGAAGCATCAGAAATGTAGAGTCATCTACATACCCTTGGTAACCAACAAAATTTGGCTCAAGAATTTGAATTGTAAAGACTACTTGCAGAATCTATACAAGGTGAGAAAAAAAATGTTCGTTGTTTTATTCTGTATTACTCACATTATGGGCAGAACAAGATCAGGGTTTTGCCACCTCTATCCCTACGGCTGGATTGAAGGATTTCATGACTACGATGAAGAGGACAAGGACATTTCAATTTCTAATGAAACTCAGGCCCGAGTTCGAGCATCTGCGTGCTAGTATTCTTAACAGGGAAAAACTCAGGCCCAAGTATCTCGCTATACATGGATTTTTTTCTTGAAAAACAAAAAAGGCACCAAATATTGTAAAAAAGTTTTATAACCTTATAGAAACCCAATTTGAGAAAAAGATCAAGATTTTTCGTTCAGATTCAGGAAGGGAATATGTAAATACAAACCTAACTATCTTTTTTTTAGGAAAAAGGCATAATTCATCAGCATTCTTGTCCGTATACACCGGAACAAAATGGTGTGGTGGAACGTAAGAATAGACATGTTGTTGTAACTGCCTTAGCCCTTCTTGATACTTCAAATGTTCCAAAAATATTTTGGGTTGAAGCAATCCAAACATCTATTTATCTCATAAATACACAATCATCCTCGATAATGAAACAAAATTGTCCTTATTTTATTATTTTCAAAAAATTGTCGGACTATTCACATCTTAAAGTATTTGGTTGTGTGTGCTTTGTTCTTCTTCCGGATCATGAACGTCATAAATTATCTTCCAAAGCCATTAAATGTGTTTTCTTAGAATACAATGATATTCAAAAGGGTATTTATGTTATGATTCAACACGTCGTTCTTATGAATCTCACGACATGTTATCTTCTTTGAGAATTTTTGTATTTATACTAACAAAGACTCACAAATCTCTACTGTCTTTCTTGAATAAATTTTCTTCTCATGATGTTGCTTGCCATAGCCACCTTCCTGCTGGTCCTTCGTTGACCATTCTCTCTACCAAATCAGGTACCACTTATAACTTTGATCTTTTTTATTTTTGATACTGATACGACTTCGGCTAATACTAAATTTTTACCTCACCCACATACAAACAATCACCTTCTCCCACTCGTCAAAATAACATTGATCCAATTAGACGATCATCTCGGCATGCTCCCCTCCAGAACGACGATATGGGTACTCAACAGGTAAACGTGGTCGATCTTATGCCTTACTAACAACCTTGAATTCTATAGTTGTACTGAACTCTTACATGCAGGCTAGTGGTGAGAAATGTTTGGAGGATGCAATGCATGAAGAATTAGTTGCCCTTGAGGAGAATGATACATAGGATATGGTGGATAGACCAACAAATGCAATAGTTATTGGAAGTAGATGGGTGTACTCAATCAAGATGAAAGATGATGGTTCCATAGATCGATACAAATCAAGATTAGTAGATCAAGGATACAAGGAGGAATATGGAATCGACTCTGATGAAACATTTGCTACAGTAGCTAAGATAATGACCGTACATATATTGCTTGCCTTAGCATCAATCAAAGGTTGGAAGTTACATCAACTGGACATCAAGAATGCCTTCCTGCATGGAAACTTGCAAGAAGTGGTCTACATGAATCCACTACCAAGTTATGAATATATTAAACTAAATCAGGTGTGTCGTCTTAAAAAATCTCTCTATGGATTAAAGCAGGCTCTTCGCTCTTGGTTTGAAAAATTCTGACTACCTCAGGTATTACTATTCTCCTTCTTTATGTGGATGACATGATTACCACAGGAAACGACGAAGTTGGAATCTCTCATTTGAAAGATTTGTTACACTCCTCGTTCAAAATGAAGGACTTGGGGAAGCTAACATATTTTTTGGGTTTGGAGGTAAGTTATGGAAAGGAAGGCATACGATTAAGTCAACAAAAGTATGCAGAAGATCTCGTTCGATTAGCCAATCTTATTGATCGTAAGAAGGTTCATACTCTAGTGGAAGCGAATACGAAATATAAAAAGGAGAAAGGAAAGCTTTCCAGATATCAGACCTTGTATAGACGTCTAGTTAGATCACTTATATATTTTTTACTATGAGTCGTCCTAACATCTTTTATACAGTACAGGTGTTAAGCCAATTTATTACCGAGCCTTACAAGATGCACTACACTGCTTTGCTCGGGGTTATTAGATACATAAAATGTACTGTGAATCGGAGTCTCTTATTCCCATCATCATCATCGTTGGACATGGTGGGATACGCTGACGCAAATTGGGCAGGATGCCCTAATTCAAGACGATCCACTACAGGCTGGTGCATGATGCTTGGATCGTGCATGATTTCTTGGAAGTGCAAGAAACAATCTCAAAAATCAAAGTCATCCACAGAGGCAGAATATAGAAGTATGTTTGCTGCATGCTCTGAAATCATTTGGCTGCGGAGGTTGCTATCAGAACTTGGCATCGAAATGAAAGTATCAATCACATTATACGGAGACAACACTAGTGCAATAAGAATCGCGACAAACCCCGTTCATCATGAAAACACCAAGCACATCGATGTAGATTGTCACTACATTAGAGAACTGGTTGAAGATCAGAGTATTAGCCTGAAGTATATATCCTCTAATGATCAACTGGCTGACTATTTACAAAGGTTATATCAAGAAGTAGACACAAATATTTGCTATCCAAACTCATGTTTTGTGATACACAACATTAGTTTGAGGGAGGGTGTTGATTATACCTTATTTATCGATACTAAATCAGGGATCTCTCATTATGGCTAATGGTAATTAGCTTGAAATCAGTAGATAATTAGGACTCTATTACTTGTATAAATATCTTGTAAATCCTACACTTTTATAATTGAATAAGCAGATCACAATTCTTTTATCTCTAATTGTTTTAGATCTCTATCCTTATTCAAATGTTATTTTTTCTTTCTTTAAATTATTATTATTATTATTATTATTATTATTATTATTATTATTTAATAATTATTGACATTTTCTTGCATTAAGGCTTCATTTCTCGAGTTTAGCCTTTTGAATGCTTCAATCATTGATGAGCAATGGTCACAAAATATTATTTTATCTGTGTCTTTTTGGATATTGTATTGTGGGATTTTATCTGGATTTTGTCTAAGGGCTGGAGAGATATAATAATTTGGTCCTAATATTCCTCTAGCATAGTCTAAGGCTTCTGCAAAATCATTAAAACCTTTAAAAAGAGGTTTTTGAAAATTTTTAATAGAGTCTAAAACTTCTATCCATGTCTGAAAAAGGTGATATTTCAAATACAAAATAGAGGTGATATGATAAATTTCATTAAACTTTTAATGTTGTAAAATCCTACTCAGTACTCCTTCACTCTCTTTTTCTATTATGTAATTATCATATTAGGTTCTAGTTTTAACTTCCCCTTTTTTTTTCCCACTCAGTACTCCTTCACTCTCTTGTTCTATTGTGTAATTATCATATTAGGTTCTAGTTTTAACTTCCCCCTTTTTCTTTTTTTTTATAGACTCTGTCCATTCATGAATCTATTATTACTGTTCATCTCTTTCTCTTAGCCTTTGTTCTTAAAAGTAATCTTCTTTAACCACACCCCGGATTTGGTTATTTATAGTTCCTTTCTCAGAACATTTAACCTGACAATGTCCTAGGAATTTACAGGTTAATCCATCAATACAAATAAGAAGCTAACAGACTAACCATATACTAAGTAATATAGATTCATGATGATATTCATAAATTTACATGAATTTACAAGATTAATATTTTACAAACACACATAATTTACATATATGGGAAGTTTACAAGAAACTTAAATATGAAAACTTACATTATTTAGAATAGAGTGAAGTTTCCCTTTCGGAAAATCCGAAAAGCTTCCAAGCTTTTACTTAAAAACAAACTTTAAAATAATAAACTGAAAACTTTACTACAATCTTTTTAAAATAATTTTAAAGAAAGGGGATTTTCTAGAGGATTTTTGAGAGAGTGTTTTTTGCGGTTGTCTTAGCCTTTTTTCGCTTTTTCCTATTTCTTGTCTTGATGATACTTGCTTTTATAGAGGTCTTTGAACTTCAAACTTCGGATTTCAAATTGAAAAAGAATCTTATCATCTCAGCTGGGTACACATCTGGGCCTCATCGTCACGTGAAATAATGTTCCTTTTCTTGCATTATTGTCCTCGTAATCTGATATCTGTCCGTCAATTCTTATCTCTTTCCTGAACATTATTTAAAGTAAAGACGCGTCCCAACAATTTTTCCACATGTGTGGTAGTGAGTAAAGTGGGACTCACACTTTTTGACAAAAGAGGCATTCCTCTTTAAAACTTAATAATATATATATATATATATATATATATATATATATATATATATATATATTATTTCATTTTTTTATGTGTCTAAATTATGTAATGCAATTGAATCAAAACTCATTTCGGAGTCATCATCATTTGGGTCTTGAGCAAATTGCATTGAGTCTGAAATATTGTCTGAGTTGTTTGAGCTTGAAATAGAGTCTTGTCTTGGGCTTTGTATTGGGATTGGATTTATATGTTTATCTTTTTCTTGCTTTTGTCTGAGTAATTTTTCTACTGTTTGGGTTATAAGGGATTCTAAATCTTTATTTTTTTGAGCTTTTTTAATTTTTTGTCTAATAGTCTGGTTAAATGAAAGTGGTAACCTTCTTCTAGAAGATGACCCTTCATCTTTTTCACTTTTTGGCAAAGTGACAGCCATCAACGGGTTTGAGATGTCTTTACCGGCTACCGTTTGAGCCGGACTAGCTGTATCTTCATCCGATACAGTGGATTTCTTAGCATTCAGTGGGGAATGCACACCCATCTCATCCATTTTTATATGGGATGGAAAACTCTTTTTATTTGTCTGAGTTTGTACATCTTGTTTACATTTGCTTTCCATTTTTTGGAGTTTTTCTCCGAGCTTGACATTTTCTTGCATTAAGGCTTCATTTCTCGAGTTTAGCCTTTTGAATGCTTCAGTCATTGATGAGCAATGGTCACAAAATATTATTTTATCTTTGTCTTTTTGGATATTGTATTGTGGAGTTTTATCTGGATTTTGTCTAAGGGCTGGAGAGATATAATAATTTGGTCCTAATATTCCTCTAACATAGTCTAAGGCTTCTGTAAAATCATTAAAACTTTTAAAAAGAGGTTTTTGAAAATTTTTAATAGAGTCTAAAACTTCTGTCC